TCTCCTTCTCCTTCTCCTTCTCCTTCTCCTTCTCCTTCTCCTTCTCCTTCTCTTTCTTTCATTTCTCTCACTGCTTTCTTTCATTCCTTTCTACCCACCTATCCATTTGGGAGGGGAGAGGGAACACAGAAAAGCCTCCCCGCTTCAGTTCCTTCCCTACCTTCTTTCACTCTGCAGGACACAGGGAGTTTACTTACGTTATCTGAGTCTCCCCAGCGGCATCGCGGATACTCAAAGAGCAATTCTGCCTTGGGCACCAAAGTGCCAAGTATATTTTCTGCTTGTTCCCACAGCAAACCCTAGAGTTTTTATCGAGAGAGAGGGTTTGCTCCCTAGAATCTCCTAGTATGGAATGTTTTGCTGGCTCCCGGTGTAATATACCTTACCAGGTGTATCATAATATACCTTACCAGGTGTATCACACCTGAGACAGAGAAACCAGAAGTCTGTATATAGGGAAAGAGTTTGATGTTTCCAGACCTATTCAGACTCAGTAACAATGTGTAATGGGGTGTCACAGCTGCAGCTTGCTGTATCCAAGAGAGAGATCCCTGATCTCTGCTTTCTTGTGACCGGAGTGTATGGAGCAGGTGTCCTTTGGCTTGACACAATATACAAATGCTGTATTTCAGAATCCCTCCCAGGGTGACGGTGTCTGGATGCTCAGCTTAGCGTTGGGGAGCAAATCTTTTCTCCAGAGATTCTTGTTTCACCATGAAATAAGCTAGGAAAAAAAAAAACGAATTAAAAGCCAAAAAAATATTTTTTTTTCTCATTTTACTAGCTACCTCATGTAGAAAGTTAGCTGAGATGAAATATTTATTACCCAATTAGCCCTGTGCCCCACCCTGGTGCCCATCCACAATTCTGGAGGGAGAAGCTGGTTCAAATAAGGGTGGCTTTGTTCCACTCAGAAAGATTTTCCTCTGGCATTCTCTAGATGTAAATAYGTCAAATTCCTGTGGATAATCCTTTCCTGTCACTACTGCTTAGGTTCGGGTTGGGATGGAGCCCTGCAGTTRTGAGTAAGGATGGAAAACATAACAAGCAGAGAAAGAGTCAGGGTTACCTTGAAATTCTCTTTCAAAAAGGATTTTTAGAGCTCTAACTTTCAAATGAAGTTCTGGTAACTTCATTTTTTTCCCAAGCTGTTTTCCCCAGCTTTTTCCCTTTTCACCAAGCTTCCCTATAACTACATTTGTCAGAGGGGACGCAGAACATGGTGGTTTGATATTATTTGTTTTACAGTAGTAATCTGAAGCCACAAGCAAATTTGTTGGGCAATGTATAGCTACATACTGAGAGAGAGCACTGCAAGAGACATCATCTAAAGTGATGAAATGACAGAATTGCCAGGGGCAGGTAAGGAGGAAATAGCCCAGTGAGGAGAAAGGTAATTGCTTCCCAGAATGTGTTTTGGCTGTTTCAATTTCGGCTTCAAAAATCCCTTCTGCCACCTCTGGAACCCAAAGCTGTCTGCAAAAGGGATGCATCCCAACCTGCAAGGAGCACTGGGAAGCACAGGAGGCTCCATCAGAGTTGGAATCTGGGAAGACTCATTCGGGCTCTCTCAGCAGCGTGCTSAAAGTCTGTGGATGGAAACCAAGGTGGTTTTAAAAGAAAATTTCCAGCCAACTCCTTTATGATTCCTACGTACGGATGGGAAACTTAAAAGTTACGGAGAGACGAAGGTCCTGATCCAGAGCCCACTGAAGTCAGTAGCTACGCTCCCATTTCCTCTCCTGGTACAAAGTCAAGGCCGAAGCACTTTGTCCAAAGCCACACAGAAAGCACCTGATATRCCCAGGAATCAGTTCCAATACCCAAAGCTCCCAAAATCCTGCCCTCTCTTTGGAGGTCATAAGAGCCGTTCACCAGAACATCTAATAGCTAGAAGMTCTGCCTACATTGAGCCTTTTGTTTCTCAAGTCCCCTTCTCAGGGTCTAGACACAGCAACAGAAGAACTTTCTTGCTTAGGCACCTGGCAAGCTCTGGGCACCAAATAACCAAACCTAGGCAGTATTTTGGTAGGAGGGCAGTCTCCACGCACCCTCATTTGATGTTTTTTGCCTTATCCCCATACTGTTTCTAACAGCATATACCCAAGTGCAAAAGAGGCACTGTTCTTAACAATTTCATTACCTGTTGCACATTTTTAGGATGATTTCTAAGGCAGAGGGAAAATTCAGTTCCGTCTAATGTGTTTAACATCCAACAGTAAGTTATGCAAGGAAAAGAAACTGCTTCTCGATTCAGGAAGGAGATATTTGTATTTCTAAAA